TGCTTCCTGGTGGCAGTTCCCTTCCTGCAAAGGGACTCAACTCCCAAGAGCAACTAAGCTCATGCACTTATTGCTGAGTGTTGTCTCACTTGGGCAGTTACAGCTTTTATGCTACTTCAATAAAATACCAGTAATGGTACAGATATCATTTGGTTGCCCAGGGAGGCTGTGGCTGCCCCAACCCTGGCAGTGTCCACAGCCAGGTTGGATGAAGCCTTGAGCAACCTGCTCTGGTGGGAGATGTCCCTGCCCAGGGACTCTAAGGTCCATTCCAACCCCTTAACATACTATGAAACTCAATTACCAGCCCCAGGGGAAGAGGCCACACAGCAGACACTCCATGGCTTGGTGCTTACTTACAACTGCTTTGTAAAACTCAACTGCAGTGGGTCATATTTCCTTTAAAAGCACAAAAATAGAGGTCTCCAAGTACTTTTGCAAGTGAGTTTTACAGCATGATTCCAGATTTCTGCTCTTTGCAGAACTTGGCAAAGCTGCACCAAATAAACAAACTGGAAATAAAGGAAGGTCTTGGAAGAACAATGAGGCAATCATGTTTTTCACACTCCACAGGATGCACCTCCCCTGGCTCAGGCCAGCCCTGAGCTCCCACTGTCACTGCAAGGCCAGGCCAGGCAGCCTTTCAAAGACATCCCCTAGTTTATTTCTCCCCTTGGGACCTGCAGAGATAAGTAAATATCTTGATCTTCTGCAGTGTTTAGGATTTGTAATCTCAACATCCTTCCACACAGCCATTGTTGTTGTGTGAGTGATGAGCAGGGGCCTGTGAGCTGCTCTCTGCTTCACCCCAGGCTCACCATGTGCCAAATTCCGGGAATTATGAAATGACAATGCACTCATCAGATAATGCTGGAAAACAACAGGGACTTCCCCAGCCTCCTCACACACCCAGGCACTGAGATCCAGGCAGATCTTTCCTTTGTTGAACCAAAAATCCAACCACTCCTAAAATTAAACCTCATTTAAGTTGTTTCAAGACTTATTTACTTTCATTACTACTAGAACTAACCACGGAGTAAGTGATAAGGATGGAGGAAATTGCAAAAACCTTCTGTGATACAATGTGCATCACTGGGGAAGTCTCTGTGCTGCTTCCTGCCTCAAATTCCATGGAAGCTGCAGTTCCAATTCTGATCTCTCCTGCACAGCCCCAAGTTCTAAATCCCTTTTCTCCATTACAGAAGTTTGAGGCAAATCTGTTGGCTCCACATGGAATAAAAGCAGCACTGGTTAACTTAGGCTTTAAGGGATTTAGGAACCTGAGAGCTCTTCTCAATTATCTAAGACACCCTGAAAAATTCAGGTGCCTCTTGCCATATTTCCTGCCTGTAGGAAGGAAACACTGAGCAGCTCAGGAGTGGATTTTGCAAGACACAGAAATTGCTCAGACACTAAACCAACACTAATGTTGTGCCTGATGCATGTGACCAAACATGTGATGTGTGTGATGTGACTCCCACATGATCTGTATGTGCTGCTCACTGGTTGCTTTCACTGATATTTTTGGAGGAGTAATGAGGATAAATTGAAAGAGGGAAATTTAGACTAGATATGAGGAAGAAGGTTATCATTTTCCAACTCTCACAGCCACAAGCAGCACCTTGTTCCCATTCCCTTCACCCACCACAAAACCTAACACCCTTTGGTGCGTTCAAGCTCTTTAGATAAACTCAAATATCAACACTGGAACAGCCACAAGCAGAGGGAGACTGTGAGAAGAAAATAAACCTGAGGAGTTATTACATTTTGAAGGGAGTTGCCATCCACTCAGGTCAGTTCCTGGATGCCACTGGATTCTTGGAACAAAAGAAGTGAAGTTTTCCTGTGACACCTTCAAGGAAGAGTGACAGAAACTGCTAAGGTGCTTCAGAGACTCACAACACTCTACAAAGGAGTTGATCTAAAAGAGATAATGACAGAGTTAAGTTTCACTTGGCTCATATTGTGTATTAAAGTGTTCAGAATGACGAGGCTCCTCCCCAGGCATGGATTTTTAGTCCCATGGAGATTCTAAAAGGAATCCCACACTCAGGAATAAATGGATTCCAGCTGGATCCATGCTGGGAAGGAGCACAGAGCTGCTACTCAATGCCAGGACAGAGCAAATCACTAAGAGCTCATGTTGGTCACCTTGTCCTGTCACAGCTCATTCAGGCTGTGAAACACAACACAGAGCACACACAGCCAACACCTCCCAAACCCAGTATGGAACAGCAGATTCTTCCCTGGGAGAGTGCTGAGGCACTGGAATAGGTTTCCCAGAGCACCTGTGGCTGCTCCATCCCTGGGAGTGTTCCAGGCCAGGTTGGATGGGGCTTGGAGTAACCTGGTCTAGTGGAAGTTGTCCCTGCCCATGGAAGGATTGGAACAAGAAGAATTTTACAGTTCTTCCAACCCAAACCATTCCATGATTCCCCAACCTGCACATGATGCCTACAGATTTAGACATCCATCCCTCAAGATCTCTTTGGTTTTAAGACACATCACTATGAGGTTGGGAAACCAACTCAAGTGCCTTCTGGGCATCATCCAAGGATCCCACCTGAGGGCACCTCCATGTCCTCCTTGAGCACCAAATTCATGGGCCTCATCAGGACACTAAAAACCTAAGTAACTCTTGATTTTGGTGAGTTTTCACCCCCTTTGCTTTACAAAGGGAACGTTGGGTGAGAAAGGCACTCTGCATCCATCAGGTAATTCCAAGGGCTGCCAAGGCTCAGGGGCACAGCCAGGACCACCAAAAGTGCTCCAGGAGGGGCCACACGAGGCGAGGCACAATGACAAATGAAGGTTAGCGCCGGAAGGAGAGGAAACACCAACTCCTCCTCCAACCCGAAAGGAGCCGGGGCAGGGAACACCTAACCCTGGCAACGCTCCCAGCCAGGTTAGATAAACCCTTGAGCAACCCGCTCTGGTGGGAGG